GGTATAACTTCATTACAAGAGAGGCCTTGATAATCAAATGTTGTAAATGTAAAACATGTTGTAATAAAACAGTAAAACAAAAGGAAGCACAACAAAATTTAAAATGATAAGTTCACAAAAGTTAAAAAACACATCAACTGCAATTCAAAAAATGTGATTTATGCATTGATATGTGCAGAATGTGTAGTCTTTCAAATTGGTCAAATAAAAAATGAACTTGGAAAGAGAATGACAGTGCAGAATGCAAACAAAAACCAAAGGATCTCAGATTATTATAACTAAATAAACATATAGATAACTGTTCAAGAGGAAACTTCAATGTCTTTTCCTTTTATAACATTTTTTTTACTGAATATGAATACTTAAGAAAATAAAACTCGTTTATTACACACTCTACAACCAGATTATAAGTCCTCTTTAATTATTTGGGATTCATGAAAACTGAAACAAAATTAATTGTATACTGTATAAATGCACTGATACATTTTTATATGTATGAGCATGTGTACATGTGTGTGTGTGTGTGTGCGTCATGCATATGCAAATGAAAATAATTCTCAGTCCTTTTCAAAATGTCACAGTAAAACCGAAGTGAAACTGTCATGTGAGAAATATATAAACTGATCAGTAGAATCAATAAAAGAATGAACCAAAAGCCTATTTAAAACCTTATTTCTGCATTTCTATTAAAATAACTATAACACAGACCTTTTGGGTCATCCATTTGAAAGGCATAGCTCCAAGGAGGACTGTCTCATCAATCCTGTCATACCAGTTCCTGCTCGTCACCTTTGACATTAAAAAATTATGCAGAAGGGTGGGATACAGAGCCACCTTGTGGAACAGTCCAACCATGTCAATCAGGTGTTCTCCCTGGAGACCGCAACAAGTTTGCTTTTTGGAAGAAAAATGTTTGTGCAAGATGATGAATGCTACACAACAGATGAAGTATGACATGTCTCATTTAATACATGAAGCATGTCTTATTTAATACATGAAGTACAACATGTCTTATTTAATTCATGAAGTATAACATATCTCATCTAATATTTACTTAAATTTCATCAGTTCATTCAATTCTTTAGTTGCACTTCTTTCAGGTCAAGATATACATGTACTTATGTATATACATTCATGGAGTACTATTAGAATATCCACCTAATCTCTCTCATAGAACAATGTTAAAATGCCCATCTGATCTTTCATAGAATAAGGTTAACAATGGCCACTAAATCTTTCATGGAATAATATTTGAATGGCCACCTGATCTTTCATGGAAACATTTTAAAATGGCCACCTAATTTTTCATGGAGTACTATTAGACTGGCCACCTAATCTTTCATGGAATACAATTAGATTAGCCACCTAATCTTTCATGGAATAATACTAGAATGGCCACCTAATCTTTCATAGAGTACTATTAGACTGGCCACCTAATCTTTCATGGAGTACAATTAGATTAGCCACCTAATCTTTCATGGAATAATTTTAGAATGGCCAACTAATTTTTTATGGAATATACTTAGACTGTCCACCTAATCTTTCATGGATTAATAATAATGGCCACCTAACCTTTCATAGAGTACTATTAGAATGGCCACATAACCTGTCATGGAGTACTATCAGACTGGCCACATAATCTTACATGAAATAATATTAGAATGCCCACTTCATTTTTCATGGAGTACTATTAGACTGGCCACCTAATCTTTCATGAAGTACTATTAGACAGGCCACCTAATCTTTCATGGAACACTATTAGACTGGCCACCCAATCTTTCATGGACTAATATTAGACTGGCCACCTAATCTTTCATGGAATAATATTAGAATGGCCACCTAATCTTTCATGGAGTACTATTAGACTGGCCACCTAATCTTTCATGGAATAATATTAGAATGGCCACCTAATCTTTCATGGAGTACTATTAGACTGGCCACTAAATCTTTCATGGAATAATTTTAGAATGGCCATCTAATCTTTCATAGAATAATATCAGAATGTCCACTTGATCTTGCATGGAATGATATTGTACTACCTTCTGATGATCAGTATGCTTACTGTATATTCTTGCTTATAAACACCAACTGCAAACAACATAGACCCTGATCTGCCATCACATAATGAACTAGTAGTAAATCAGAGTATGTGTTGTTCTAATGATCACTCCAACCATTGCATTGACCAGATCTGCCAGATAATAATATGATATTGGATCTGGGTCAGTGTACAGCAAATTAATAGTTAGGAATGCAAAACCACATTTTGCTAAACCCCAGATTGACCTAAAAAGCACTTGCCTTTACCAATCACTGGCATCTCACCCGTGTCCACCTGGGCTTGAGAATTGGACTTGGTCAATGCTGTCACATGGAAAACATTACCAGTAGCTTCCTGAGAGTTGGTGGTTCTTACTGGGGATTTCCTGGGTTCCTCCTCAAAATGTTATACTAGCAGCCATGTAAAACAACGTGCTGAGAAATGGTGTTAAACTCAAAAGATCAATTTTCTTGCTTTTTTAATAACTGAATGTAAAACTGAAGCTATACAAATGGAAAAACTAAGAAATCAAGAAACATGTAGTCTTACTTACAGATTGTTGGTAATATTAGTTTTTAATCATTTCTACATTTACTGTTGTGTAAATCGGAACTTTCATGCTCAGATCATGCAAATCACTTTAGAAAAGGAATTAAATGTTTCTCTTTGATGGTATTCAAAAGTCCCCAAATGTAAAACCTAAATCAAAGTTTGTCTTCTCAACAGATCAAGTACAGAACTATAAAGAAATGTAAACTTTAATGAAGCTGTATCTACTGACAAAACAATGATAATTTTAGCTTATAAAATCTTCTAGCTCTTGCCTGCACCCCTTACTGTAACAGACACATGCATGTTTTCATTTTCAAATGACCTTGACATTGCAAGAGTATTACAAGGTGGGTAGGAGAGCATCAATATAAAAGGTTGTCTTGTTCTGATTCTACCATCTAATTATAAAGCTTGTTGTTGAGGACTCATGACCATACAAAAAACACTTAAACAGTTAACTTAATCAAGATTTTAAAATGTCCTTGCCCTTGCCAGGGTGCTAGAGTCATGGTTTCAGCAATTACATATTAAACCTAAGAACATTCTAATTCTACAGTCCCTGTATAATAGCTTGCATTCCCATGATTTTGAATACAAAACAATACCAAAACACTTTAACTACAAACTTAAGAAAGTTTTTCAAAAATGTCTATGACCTTACCAGGATCTTTAAGTGAGGGTTTGGGTGCATGAATATGAAAGGAACGAGCTTCCTAATTCTACAGTCCAAATATGACAGCATGCTTTCCCAAGTTCTGGGACTTACAACCATACAAAAAATCTCTACATTCTGAATTGCATCAGGATATTGTTTCAGAAATAATTCTAAATGATTCTGAAAAATTATACATTAAAGTTTCATAAATTCTGAGTTAAAGTAAAAAGCATTATTGTCAGTGCTTTATGACAATTTCTATAGTTTTCAAATGCATAGATATTGTACTTAACCACTGCTAAAAAAAAAATTTAGACAGAAAATAGGCTGGTGACTTTAATAAACTCACAAGCCCTGACTGAAATTCCACAAGCCTGGACTCCAATTTCCACATTTCCAAAATTTATCATTTTTAATATTGTCACACAACATTACAATAGCTACAGTTCAAATATAAATTCCATAGGGTTCATAAAAAGTTTAAAGGTAATGCAAGTGTCATTAGAGTTCATTACTACACTCACTAGGGATTGAATGGTCCTGGTGTTAAAACTTCTCTGCTGGATTCTCTCAGTGAATCCTGGTCTGAACTGAGTTGATGTACGTGGATGTGTGCAGAGTTAATAGCCCTCTAACCTTTCTCTTTTTCACTGGCATGCTTCACAGAGTAAAACTCCGTCAACCAAGAGTTCTGAAATTTATTTTTATTGGGCTATACTGATAGCTAATTGCTTCCTAAATGAGCTTTAAAAATGAGCTACATTTAACACTCTTCTGACAACTGAAATGATCGTGCTTTGCATTCTATATATGCAGTAAAATCCAATATCAAAGAAATGTTACTGCTGTTCATGAACTTGTCAAAAATATTATACCCATGACTTGAACACTCTCATTCAAGGCAATGATATGTAATAACTTTTGCTCTTGTACATGTATCTAGGATATCATTGATTACTTATAATGGGTTCTTCCAGTGCCTAATGTTACCTATCCAAATTAGCACACCCACTTCAGCCTTCAAACAATTCTCACCAGCTATTGTCAGTCCGTTAAGTAATATGTGAAATGGTGGTTTATACCTGACTTTGTTGCCTTTGTTGCCTGATTTTGTTTCCTGCTTATACATGCTACATGTAACAGGGATTCTTTTTCTTTTTCTAATTTGAAGATTACTTAAAATTGAGTTTTCTAGAAACACGATCATGTCAGGGTGTCTGCGAGTACAAAATGATATTTTTTAGCAAGACATGCAAAGTTTTAATTTCAGATCTCAATTTTATGAAAGACAATGGTGATCTGATTTAGGATATGGCAGTTATGGCAGTTATGTCAGCATCTTAAAAATACATTTACACATTTCCTCAGTGAAATCAAAATGCCCTCATAAAAAAAAAAAAAAATTTCACAAGCCCAATGGGCACCTCACTTAGAATAAAGGACAGGCCTGGTCTAATATTAGAAGGGCCCCAGGCATTGGGTTATCAGATTGTTTGATGCGATTGATGTGATTATGAATTTTAAGGCAGCTTTAACAATTTTTCAGTCATATCGCTACATTGTCTGCAGTGTGGCAGTTTATAGTTATGTCTAACACTAGGGCATCATGCTACAGACTTGTAGTATGATGTCCAACCCAGTCACATTATCCTGACTCCAGGCCAACCAGTCCTAACAATAACCTCTTAATGCTGAGCGCCAAGCAAGGCAGCTGTTAATACCTGTTAATACCATTTTTGTAAGTCTTTGGTATGACTCAACCGGGGTTCGAACCCATGACCTTCCCACATCTGAGGTGGATGCTCTAGCCACTAGTCCACCAGATCAGATTTTTTGAACACTGATAACTGAAACAATGGGGAAAATAAAACACAAAATCACAACTTTGATGGAATTATCTTCATTTTAAATGCTTCAACAAAATGTCCAAAATTTGAAGACTATGATCACAACTGGGTTTGGTATAAATAAATTTTAAATATATGAATTAATAAATCTCTACCCAAATTTCACTTTGCATCAACTTTTCAAAAGTACTTAATTTTTTACATAAAAATTAGACAACCACTTTCTACATATGGTTGTAAGACCTGTCAACCCAATAGATCCAAGCATTTGAAGCTGAGGATTTTATAAGCCTAATGACTTACAGTTTTTCAAAATTACAACCCTTCATTTCAAAGCCTTTTATTTTGCATAATTTGAGTCCACTTATAATTTCATTCACATAGAATCAACTGGATTATATCTGGTAAATCTGTCATAACAAGAGTACCACAAAACAAGAGTACCACAAAATACATAAGAAGTACATTCCTTGCCTGTTTAATCCTGAAATCGACAGGTTTCTGTCTCATCAAAATAACCTACTTGTGAAGTCTATTGTACATTGTTATACAAAAACTTTTTGTTTTTAATGTTAACCTTTGACATTTATAGGTAAAATTAAATACCTTTTTGGTATTATCAAGGGTAGTGACTTTTAACCTTTGGCCATACTAACCAACAGGCTTACAACTTGCTTTTGTTGTGGAATTATCTGGTTTTTTAAAGATACATTTTCTTATAAATTACAATCGCTGTACAACAAATGTATTTGAAATGAACACAAGTGATCTTACAAACATTAATCCTGAACATTTTTATGGAATAAAATACTAAAATGTTTCAGGACATTAGTTTTCCTTGATTTATTTGGAAAATATTTCTACTCAATTATTTTTTAATATATAACAAAACAACAAAATAATGTGAACTAAACAAAGATATGCATTTGTACAAAAATTGCAACTCTATTTAGGGTGGAGGGATAATTTACAATCTTATTAAAATCAGAATTTACTTATCATTAAGTACATCTGACAGACATCATGTTCTTCTGACCTGTATAATTAACCAATCAAATGAAAGCTTTCATACTAAGAGATAAAAATATAATTCAAAACACGACTGCTTACAGTACCTCCCCCAACATGAAATGTAATACTTTAATTAATAAGTACTCAAAATAAGGAAAAAATTCTTATGTCACCAGAGCTTGAAATGTTATCAATGTCTGTCAATGTTCCATTATGTTGTAGAATCTTGATTTTAATAATACTGAAATAATTTATTAGTGAAACAGTATCGTTTTTAGTAAATATACATGACATGACTAACAAAGTGTATTATCAAAAACAAATGCTCTTTAAAAAAGGGACAAACTTGACAAAAAACAAATTTAAATGTTCATACAAGAATGAAATGATTTTTCATTAATTCTCTACTACGGATAAAATTAGATTCATTCTTTGACTTAAGAAGATTGTTTCACTTATTAATTTTTTAAACAGACAGTTTAAACAATGCTTAATTTATAGATTGAAGATACACTACAAACCAGTCTAAATGGTATAAACCATTTTTTGTATATACAGTTAATCTGTAACATCATATGGTGATATTAAAAGCAATATCAATATAATAGATGCTCCTTTGCTAAGTAAGCAATTTACTAACCAATATTCTTTCTATAAAAAACATACATTTAATAGTTTACATGTGCCAATTTTTGAAGATATACTAATGATAACAAATAAACTGCTTTTAATTTGATCAATTTACAGGTAAATCTATGTTGCAGATACCTAAAAGTGAAAGGCTGTACAATGCATAACACAAAGATGGAAAAAGAATAATGTTTTACAAATAAACAACCTGCATACCCTGGAAAAAAGAATTAACAAAATAATCTGAACAGAATTTGCCACATTTCAAAGAGCACTGATATAAAATAGAAGACATCAACTTTGAATAAGCAGGTCATATTACTGAGCTAAATAAGTCCATCTAATAATGGTACTGCTTGTGTTTTACAAAATACAAGAACACAGCTCACTGACTCTAATACAATCACTCAAGTATATTGTTCAACTGATTCCATAATGAAATGACTGCATGTATTTTATACATAATGCTAAGGTTTTGCCTCTATCAATTTTGTAACTTACTGAACACATTTCAAGACTCTAAGGCCATGAAAAATATCTCAATTAATTAAAAATAGAATACATCCTTCTTATGCATGAAACACTTTCCATAAAGATAATTTATAATGAAAATGAATGCCACACTAAACAATTTTACAAGTGCAGATGTGATCATGTAAGAAGTTGTAATTAACAGGTTACCCAAATGACTATTGAAAACTAATCATAAAACCCATGCACTTCCAATCCAGTTCTACAATCATTAAAAATCAGGGGAAAAAAATTTAACTTGAATAACCCATTCTTGCACCCATATCTGCCCAACTTCTGGTAAATTTTACTAATATTTGGTGATTTTATATTTAATCTGTGATTTATTAGAATCATTTTAATGGCCACATTAAAGTCAGTACAATTTATATATACAGTGTGACCCAGCTATTACATGCTCAGTTATAATGCGAATTCGGATATAACGCGGTCGTGGCATGGCTACCAAAATTTCTTCCACCTTATTACCAATATTTTTCTTGTAAAAAAACAAAAAAATTAAGTATGTAAAGTAAATTGCATAAAGTTTTATTATCATGTTGGAAAAGAGATTGCTTATGAATTAGAATATAAGATGTTTCTAGCGTGGCTCCCGAAATATCATATTCATGTACATATATTATTCTCGTACACGAAAAACATTTCTTCTTAAAAGTAAAAAAAAAATGTGTAGAAAGTTTATTATCATTTTAAGGAGGTAATCATGTATGGATTCTAATATAAAACAATTGTGATGTGGCTCCCAAAATTTCATTTACCTTATTACTGGTATTTTTTTTGCAAAAAAAGAAAAGAACGCAAATTAAACTACGTAACGTTTTGTAATCATTTTGGAAAAGAGATCGCTTATAAATTTGAATACAAGACATTTGTGGCATTGCTGCCAAAATATCACATACATGTATTATTCTCATATATAGAAAACATTTCTTCTTTAAAAGTGCCAAAAAAATAACGTGTAGAAAGTTATCATTATGGGTAGGAAATCACGTATGGATTCTAATATAAAACGATCGTGGCATAGCCCTAAAAAATTTTAATTTAACACATTTCTTACAGTTTTGTGCCAAAATAAACATTGGAAATATGAGTATCTGATCCCATGTCTGGGTCTTTTGAGAACTTTGATCTTTGTTTTATGTTGAAAGTTGACAGCTCATAAGCTTTCATGTTCTTATTACTGGTTCATGAGCAATGAAGCCATCAAATCTACTTCGTGTTTGTCAATAATGCATTTCCTATACAATCATTGCTCAAACAATATCCGACATATGTTCTATAATCTGCATTCACAACTAAGCAATAAACAATTCGTTGGTTGATAAAAAGAGTCTCACCTAACTTTATAAATCAATTAATTTAAGTACGTTGCCCATCATCAAATGTTCAAATTATAGGTCAACGATTTATAAAACATCAAACAAACACAAGCTACCAACACATGCACATGGCTTAGCGGTGTTGTTTTATGCAGTCAGTTGACCAGTGAATAATGTTGTCCAGTCCCTACAAATATCAATCTCTTGTTTATTGCTGCAGTCAGAAAGCAGCTGAAAATTAGTTTTTCAAACAATACAAATCACGGATGAGAACATTTAGCCGTGAAATTTATATAGACACCACTATTTAACCTTCGGATGTACTGTTTCATTCTTTGTTACATACTACTTGCTATTTATTTTTCCCACTGAATTCTGTCACATACCGATCTGTGACAAAATTACTGAATATTTTAAATGTGTGTGAATATTTTAAATGGAAATATTGTGGATTCATTGTATATGAGATTTTCACAGGTGAGTACATGGTGTTGATATTCTATTCATTCTTTTGATTAGCTATGTATGTATAAACTATACATGTGTATACATCAATGCGTGGTTCCATGAATAAAATAATATATTATACATGCAATCTGTTATCACTGCAGGTGTTTTTTTCTTGTTTTAATATACATTGATTTAAAATAGTAACTGTGCCAATGAAGTACACATTTTTGCACCCGTTTTTATTCCTCCCCCAAGGAATCCTGTAAATTTGTTGGTAACATACATGTTTGCTGATAACACGGTTCGATTCATAATGCAGTTGGGTTTTATGGTTATAGCGGGTCACACTGTGTGTGTGTGTGTGTGTATGTATATATATATATATATATATATATATATATATATATATATATATATATATATGGAGGGGCCCCCGAATGGTCTAAAGCGCTGTCCATTACAGATCACTGCCATCTCACCTATGTCTGCATGGGTTCGAGTCTAGGATTCAGCGAATGTGGATATGTGAGAAAGCTTGCCAGTAGCTTCTCATGGGTCGATGGTTTCTTTCCTCCACCATTAATACTGGCCGCCATGAATAGCCTATCGTGTGCTGAAAAATGGCATTAAGCCCAACAACAACATATATATATATATATATATATATATATATATATACATATATATATATATATATATATATATATATATATATATATATATGTATATATACTGTATGTACTCACACAAAAAAATCAAAGTAACAACTGCACAGACTCAGTTCTGAGGTCATATAATGCAGTGGTAGATCTGGGTCTATGTAGCTTTTTAGAAGTACTCAGCAGAATAAACAACACAGACTCTGATAATGTTGTTAACATGTGATGCCCGGCTGGTCCATGTTGTTTTTAGCTGAACTCAACTTATAAGTGACTATATATGGTGTTGGTAATATATGTGTTAGAAAGTTAAAGATCATGAAAATAAATCACATTACAGGGAAGATAATTTCTGGAGCAAAAGAAGAAAATAAAATTT